ATCCTTATAGTTCTCCATATACAGAAATCTACTCTAAATGGATTAAAGACAAACATAAGAACCAAAATTGTAAAACTACTAGAAGAGAACATAGCAGAAATACTTCAGTACCTTGGTCTAGGCAAAGCTGTGATGACTAAAACATCAAAAACACAGGCAAAAATAGACCAATGAGACTATATCAAAATTAAAGTTTCTTCATAGCAAAGGAAACAACCAACAGAGTGAAGAGACAACCTGCAGAACGGAAGAAAATGTTTGCAATCTATTCATCTGACAAGGGTCTAATATTCAGACTATATAAGGAGCTCAAACAACCCAACAGCAAAAACAAAATTAATCATCTGATTAAAAAGTGGGCAAAGGATCTGAATAGACATTTCTCAAAAGAAGATGTACAAATGGCCAAGAGATACATGAAAAAATACTCAACATCTGTAATCATCAGGAAAGGAAATAAATCTGCAATGAGATATCATCTCACTACAGTTAGAATGGCTACTATCGAAAAGACAGAAAGTAAAAAATGCTGGTGACGTTGCAGAAAAAGGAAACTTATGCACTCATGGAGGGAATGTAAATTAGTATAGCCATTAAGGAAAACAGTATGAAGCTATCTTAAAAACTAAAAATAGAACTACCAAACAATCCAGCAATCCCACTACTGAGTATTTATCAAAAAGAAAGAAAATAAATGTATCAAAGAAATACCAGCACTGCCATTTTTATTGTATCACTATTTATAATTACTAAGATATGGAATCCATCTAAATGTTTATCAACAGATGAATGCATAAAGAAAATGTGGTATCTGTACACAATGGAAGATTATTCAGCCATAAAATATAATAAAATTATATCATTCTCAGCCACATAGATGACCTTGGAGGACATTATGTTAAGTAGAATAAGTCAGGCAAAGAAAAACAAATGCTGTATGTTCTCACTCATGTGGGAGCTAATTTTTAAAAATGAGTTCACGGTAGTAGAGAATAGAATTGTGGATATTAGAAGCTGGGAAATGAAGGGGAGTGGGGCATGGGGTGAGGTTGGTTAGGATAAAAAATTATCACTAGATAGAATGAACTCTAGTGTGCTGTGGCATTGTAGGGTGAATATGATTAACTATGATTTCTTGTATTTTTTTGAAAGCTAGAAGAGAGGATTATGAATGCTTACAAAAAAAAAAAAGAACGGTAAATGGTTGAAGTGCTGGATATAATAATTAGCCTGATTTGATGATTATACATTATTTACATGTATCAAAATATTACTGTGTATCCTATAAGTATGTACAAATATACATGACCACAAAATATAAAAGAAAGCCAGGCATGGGGTAACATGCCTGTAGTCATGGCAACTTGGGAGGCTGAAGCAGGAGGATCCCTTGAGCTCAGGAATTTAAGGCCAGCCTAAGTAACACAGTGAGATCCAATTTCTAATATATATAAATAGATAAATAATAAAAATAGAAGAAAAACTGTATCCTATAAAGAAGTAGACTGTGGGCCAACCCTACTGACAGGCCTCTAATGAAGAAATGCGGTGAAAGTGATACCACGTGCCTTCCAACATTAAGTTAGAAAAGGCCCTCCATTTCACACTGCTTGTCCTTGAAACTTAGCCCCCATGTTGTGAGGAAGCTCAGGCCACAAAGACAGCCTAGGAGTTCCAATGAAGGTATTTGAGCTGCCTGCCCCAACTAAAGTTTCAGTCAATGGCCATTATGAACAACCAGACAGTTAGGGAATAAGCCTTCTGAGGATTCCAGTCCTCCAACCTCTGATTTATCCCAAGTGAAGCTCAAGGGAATGGAGACAAGCTGCCCCGGCCAAGGTTTTCCCCAGCCACAGATGGCTGAACTAAATAAATGGTGTTTTCAGCGACTCAACTTTAGGTAATTTTTTAGGAAAAAATAAACAGAAAATTTGATTTAAACAAAGAGACATCAAGAAAAAATAACTTACACAGTAGAAATTAATGTCCTTTAAAGTAGGAATTAATAAGTGCTGAATTTAATTTATTAACAACAAACAATGCTAACGAGAAGCAGCAGACAATTAGGAGAAAGGCATAAGAACTATTGAGGAGAAAGTTTGTCTAAAATTTTCTTCAGTTACAAAGTCTGATAAAGAAAAAGAGCCTTTTTAGAATTTGTTCCTCAAGTTATGGGATAAAGATGGTGAGGATGAAAGGAAATATATGGTTTGAAGTTGTGAAAGGAAAATATCCTGGGCCCCCAAAATCACTAAGGAAAACTCCAGCTGGAAACTGCTTAGGGCAAACCTGCCTCCCATACTATTCCAAGTGACCTCTCTGCTCACTGAGATAGATGCATATTTGACTTGCTTCCTTCAGAAAGGCTAATCAGAAACTCAAAAGAACATATTTCTTTGTGTAAAACCTACCTGGGACCTGGAAGCTCCCTCCCCACTTTGAGTCTTCCTGCCTTTGCTTCAAGTTGTCCCACCTTTCTAGAACCAATGTGCCTCTTACCTATATTGATTGATGTCTCATGTCTCCCTAAAACATATAAAACCAAGCTGTGCCTTGACCACCTTGTCCACATGTCATCAGGACTTCCTGAGGCTGTGTCATGGGCATGTCCTCAAGCTTGGCAAAATAAACTCTCTAAATTAACTGAGACCTGGCTTAGATCTTCCGGGTTCACAAAGTATAAAAGGTGAAAAAAACTAGCAATATTTTGATTTTCTAACCAAAATCAGATGTTTGACCTGATTTCAATTCATTGAAATTCTAAGAGATAAGTAGCTTTGAGTGTTTACTAATCAATCTAGTATTCAATGTTTATGTTCATTTCTTCAATGAGAAAATAGAGAATATTATGGAACTATCTTTAATCTTCTCAGCAGTAAAACAAATGTGTCCTTTGAATGTTAAGAAATTAAGTACAATTTCCCCTTTACCTTACTTTGAGCCTGTTTGTATGAAGAAGGTGAGACCATCTTATCTTTATTTTGTAACAAAATGCTTCTCCATGTCATACAAATTGAGCAAGACATGTTAGTGAACAAGGATAGACATAGACCAGCATATTAGAGTTGAGAATCCAAAATTAAATCTGTATGTTTGTGTTCAGTTCATTTTCACCAAGAGTTAGAAAACAAATGAGTAAAGAATAGTATTTCCAACAAATGGTATTGTCTCACTAAATGCAATATCTAAACATTTATTCAAAATAGCTAAATGTAAGAGCTAAAACTATAAAATTCTTAGATGAAGACACAGGCATAAATCTTTGTGACTGCATTTGCCAGTGGTTTCTTAGACATAACACCAAAAGGAAAAATAGATTAACTGGACTTGATCAAAATTTGGAACTTGAACAGGCACCATCAGGAAAGCAAAGAGGAAGGCCACTGAGTAGAATTAAATATTTGAAAATCATGCATCTGATAAGGGACCTACACCTGGGATACAAAAACAACTTTTAAAATTTAGAAATTAAAAAAAAATTGTAAATGGGTAAAGGATTTGAATAGATATTTCTCCAAAGAAAATATACAAATGGTTCATAAACACATAAAAAGATGTTTAAAGTCATTAGTCATTAGAAGAATGCAAGTCAAAACCACAATAAAGTACCTCATAGCACTACTAGAATGAAATCTTTTCTCAGTCAAAAATATGGAAAATTTTGGCAAGGGTATGAAAACATTAGAACACCCTCACAATACTGACAAGAATGTAAAATGACACAGCCACTTTGGAAAACAGACCGGCAGCTCCTCAAAGAGTTAACACATGACCCAGCAATTCCACTCATAAGTATAACCCCAATAGAAATGAAAACATATGCACTCTTACAAAAAAGTGTAAACACAAGCCCTTTTACATCAAAGTTCATGGCAGCTTTGTTAATAACAGTCCAAACTGGAAGCAACCTGATGGTCCATCAATTGATGAATGGATAAATAAAATGATTGGTATATTCACACAATGGAATATTACTCAGCAATAAGAAGAAATTAAGTACTGATACCTGCTACCACACAGAAAACCCTTAAAATGTTATGCTAAGTGGAAAAAAAAAAGTCACAAAAGACCACATATTGTGTAATTCCACTGATAGAAAACATCCAGAATGGACAAATCTGTACAATCAAAGGAGACTGGTGGTTCCCTGGAGCTGAGTAAAAAGGGGAAAACTGGTCGATGATAGCTTAGGGATGCAGAGTTTCTTTTCAGGGTCATAAAAATGTTTTAAAATTGATGGTGGTGATGGTTACACAACTGTGTGAATATACTAAGAAACTGTGAATCGCACACTTTACATGGGTGAACTGTACGGTTTTATTAAGGTGAATTATATCTTAATAAAGTTGCTTTTAAAAATCAAATGGCAGGATTTTGATAAATTTCTTCTCTACTTTGGATTATATACTATACATGATCTGAATATTTCTGTTTTACAATATATTTAAAAGAAACAAAATAGGAAAGAAATGCCTAACATTTCAAGTAGTTTGTAAACTAACCTAAAACATTTGCATTTTGAAGACCAGTATAACAGTTTTTCCCTGTATGCATTATCCTGAAATGCATGAAATAAATATACAGAGATTCTGTACCCATTCACAAAAGTAAAGATAGGAAATAAGACAATTTTCTGAAATAAACATTATCCTCTGATTTAATCTGGTGTGCCTCACCATGGTAATAGAGAAAATCACTAAAAAATACTGTTACACAGAAAAAAAGTCTCTCAACTTTTGTGAGAAATGATGTCTAATTCTCAACTTTTCCTGAAGGTAAATGTTATAATAAAAATATGTACATAATTAAGAGGAAAAAATGACAAAATAAAAGTCAAGAGGTTAAGAAATAAGTATATTATAATGGTAATAAAATTGTAATAAAATTAATTATAATGAAAATAAAAAAGAAAGCTGTTCACTGAAATTAGTATCCTAAAACACTTGATATTATTTAACCAGCTATAGACTAACTATTGACATGTTATATTTTATACATACTTGACTTCTGATTTGACCTGATTTCCTCTTTGAGTCCCGTGTTTCATCTAAATTAACATAACATGGTGTAGCCTCTAGTGAAGGCTCTGATACAGGTTGTTTTTTTACAGTATCAGCCAATTCTTGTTGAATTTGTCTCACAATTTCCTGTAAAGATATTTTTGTTATTGATTTTATGTCACCTTATTATTAAATGATGATCATAGAATTTAACTCTAACATATATACTTTGAAAAATATTACCACATACTTTGATTCACCTTCTTTTCCTCATGTGTAATGAACATTCCTGTTCAATACTGAATTCAGTTAAGGACAGAAAAGGTGTTATTTTCCTGCCAAATCAGTATTCTGTAACTTAGACAACCGATACAGCCCATTATATATTCATCACCTAAGTTTGCAATGCTTAATCATCTACTGAAGTCTCAGAAAGAAATGGGTTTGTGAGTGAGACTAGTGGTTGTAAATTCTATACTCTGAAATGTTTTCTCTCTTCTTTATTAGAAGTTCAAATCAACTTCACAATTCCTCATTTATTCAATTGCCTGCTCAAATCCTTCCACTAGATTGCTGTATTGAAATAAAACTAAAATTTCAATGGTCTTTGAAGCCCTTGATAATCTTGCCTCCACTTCCCTGATCTCAGCTCCTACACTCTCTCTCCTACTCACTCCATTCCCACTATATGTGAATCCTGTCACCCCTCATTAGTTTGAACATGGGGACCCAACGCCAAACAAAGAAATCTCAGATTGCTACAATTATCTTTGTACTGGACAAAGTTATATTCAAATGAAATTAGTCATTGAGTCTAGAAATAAAAATTATGCACAAATTACTTGTAAAAACATTCAAAATAAATTACAAATGCCAGTGGTAAGATGAAATCAAATATGGTTTTACTGACATTCACATCTGTCCCAAATTATACTTAATTAAAAGTGAATCCTGTCAGAGTTGAGAGGTCATGACAATAATTTGAGATTGAAATATTTTCAGATTTAAGTCAAACTGACACGAATAAAAATAAAATTAAACCAACTTCAATATATAAGAAGCTCCTGAGGGAAAGTCTTATGAGATACAGCAGTACACTTCAGTTCACCTGGGAAATCTGGACCTAACTGTCGAAATCACCCACCAAATTGAATCTTAACTTCAAAATACTCACTTCCGGTAGGAGCATTTCCATTTATCTGTTTCATCATGGTCTCAAAATGTGGCCACATAAAGACATGAAAATTATTATCTCAGGCCCGTTGTGGTGGCTTATGCCTGTAATTCCAGCACTTTGGGAAGCCCAGGTGGGTGGATCACCTGAGGTCAGGAGTTCGAGACCAGCCTGGCCAACATGGCAAAACCCCATCTCTACTAAAAATACAGAAACTAGCCGGGTGTGATGGTGCGCACCTGTAGTCCCAGCTACTCGGTAGGCTGAGGCAGGAGAATCGCTTGAACCCGGGAAGCAGAGGTTGTAGTGAGCCAAGATTGTGCCATAGCACTCCAGCCTGGTCAACAGAGTGAGACTCTGTCTCAAATTTAAAAAAAGGTATTACTTCAGCAGTGTAAGACTACACTATTGATACTAGTCTCTATTAACAACTTGTAACTTAACCTCTCAACATTTCATAGGTGACACTATTTCTTTACTCAAAGTAAAGCATCTTTCCAGTCTTTTTTTTTTTTTTTTTTTGCTGGCATGCTTCTAGGCTCATAAAGCAAACATGTTTATAATACACATACATTTATATTCAATGAGACTCATCATTTAGCAAAAACCAAATATTGCTTTATATTTTCGTTCAAGAAGTTTTAAAATATTTTCTTTCTCAATACTTACATTTCTTTCTGCTTTCTCTTTTTCATATTTGTACAATCTTTTATTTATGTAATTGCATTTATTAATTAACTTGTTGTTTTCCTGCTCCAGTAGAAGACTTTGCTCTTCACTCTGAGCTTGATTTTTGACAACAGCATTAAAATGCTCTTGGATATTAATTATTGTCTCTTCTTGATTATCAGCTTTCTTGTGAGCCTCATTCAGTTGCTGTCGAAGTAACAGATTTTCGTTTTGTATTTGAGATAACCTCTCCTCTAGAAATTCTTGCTTTTGAATGTATTTACTCACTTTGTCTTCTTCATTCTGAAACATTTGTTCAATTTCTTTCCTTTGACATTGTAGTTGGGTTAGGTCTCTTTGGACATCTTCTAAAACCAATGTCTTTTCTCTTAGAGCATCTTTTGTGTGGTGCCACTTCATTTTGAGGCTTCTGATTTTATTTTCAGCATTAGAAAGTTTTTCAGAAAGCATCTCATTCTTATCTTTTAGATTGCTCATATCAAAATTCATTTTTTCCTTTAAATGAAACCACTCTTGTCTTGTTCTCTGGAAATCGAGTTCTACATCTCTTTTTGATGCCTGACTTTGATCACAGTCTTGTATAGCAGCGGCCAGTCTACAACGATATGATTCAATTTCTGTTTCCAGTCTCTCCTGGTTTTGGTTTTCATTCTCCAATTTAAAACTGAGCATTTTATTCTCAGCTTTCAAAACTTCAAACTGTACATTGTACTGGAATATCGTTGTTGTAAATGTTTCCTCGTTCAGCTTCAAAGTATTTTGAAGGAAATCATTCTTTTCTTTCACAATTTTAATGTCCTCAAGATAATTATTTTCCTTTTGCTGGTCCAAATTTTTCATTGTGTCTATTTCCAGTCTTAACCTGGCAATTTCTTCCTGCAACATGCAATTTTCGTACAACAGATCTTTTTCTTTCTTATGCCCATGAGAAATCTAAATAAACAAAGGAAACTTTTAGCTAGCATTCAATACAATGACATCTCATTACTTTCTCTGAAATTAAAGAATATCCTGCACATTTATAGAATGAAAGCATTGCCATGAATGAATATCTAACTGGGAAAAAAAGTTGAATTAAAACTTCAAACCTCGTAGAGCATAAATTCTCCAAAGGTCAAACATTTCAATAAGACAATGAATCCATAAAAGTAAAAGAGGAACCACTAGAGGATGTGTAAGGTTCCCAGAATTGGAGAAACCTTTCTCGGAACAATAACAAACCCAAAGGTGTAAAATAAAAGATTTTAAAAATTTACTACATTAAATATTGGGTTTACACTCTGATATCTAACCTATATACTACCATATAATAAGAGCCTTAGTTCTGCATATATTTGGACAGATGAAATTCCCAATGTCCTTTAAGTTCCTTTTTCCTGAGACTACTCTACAGATATTCTCTTTTGGTAGTATTTTTTATAGGCAGTCCTAAGAATGACATGCATGCATAAATGCTAAATATAAGCATCTCACTAAGCACTTGGTGATGTATTTAGATACATCACCAAACTCAATTATCACAATTCTGCAAAGGAGTGGTCAAAAAATAAGCAAGCTGCAAAATTTTCCCCAGGTTTTCTAACCACTTCTAGTGCACCTCCACCAAATCACATTTATTTCTGTAGTGTAACTAAATACAAAAAGAAGCTTTTTTATTTCAAAACACTAATAGTAAATAAGATAAAATTATAGAGCTTTGCTTAGAGAGTCATAAAATCATTTGTCATTGCAATAACTTCTATTTCCTCTTTATAATGTTTGAAAGAGTCATAAATATGAAATGGGGGAAATATACTGAACTATTTTACTAGGAACAAAATACATATTAGTAAATTATCACTAGTATATATTGTGGCATACCATTGTGTTCAAACTCTTTGTACTCAAATTAGACACTATTGGAGCAGACTGTTACTCTTCTCAAAAGTAAAAAGAAGAGCATCCAAAATATGGTCTCTGAACTGCCTATACATTTTCTTCTTACCTATCAGTGGAAATAATAAACTAACCCCTCCATTAATATAAAACTAAGATTAAATCACTTTCAACAACTAGAACAGGTTTTGTTAGTAGCAAGGGTTTTGACATTATAGAAAGATTATTAATTCCTATGGAAAGTATCAAATGCTTCTGCTTTTCATGAGGCCAGTATGAATATCACTACTTGACTATTGCAGACAAATGGCATTAAATTAAGAACATCATTTTATTCAGTGGACCAAAGGCCAGAACCCCCACCACCACCTCATAAAAGACAAAGACAAAAATTGTCTTCTTCCTTCTTTACAACTTGGATTTTAAACAGCTAGCTTTTGAAGATGTGATATTGTGGGGCTTCAGGAACAGAAAGGAAGCTTCACCCTTTGTGCACTAAGCTATTCTTTTCCCCACTGCCTTTTATCTTTCTTTTTTATCTGTCTAGAACTCAGTTTTCTACTTTAAAGTCATACACTAAATTTTTGCCTGAGAATTTACGATACTTATATAAAAATATCATATACGCCATTAACTTACCATACTCTATCAAACAATAGAATATAGAAGTCTGACTCAACAGAAACATTTGAGAGTTATTAAAATTATGTGAAAGTATATATACTTCTCAAAAATATTGAAAGTGGTTATAATATAATTATATGTTGCAAGAGTTGCAGTTAAACAGATACACTACAAAACATGAAAGCACAAGAAACAGATTCATTGGCCAGGAATATTTCTTACAACTCTCAAGACTAGTACATTTTTATCTCCCTTCTCAGTCATTGTTTCCTTCCCATTGTATTTCCATTCTATTGCTAAACACATCTCATCTTTACATAAATGGAAGGGAAAACCCTAGGGCTATAATTTTAAGCAATTTTCTTTATGCTTATCCTGGTTCTGAAGGTCATAGGCATATAGATAAATTAGTTTATGATTTCTTATACCACTTGGAAAACTTGATAGACTTTGCTTGAGCAAGGAACAAAGATTAGAGAAAGTTTTTCTGAACTTCTATCATTTAGATAGCAGAAATAATCTATTTCTATGTACAGATTTAGATAACCCAATTTTACACGTAAGTTTATCATCAGTAGAAATTCAGAATAGATCCGATGATTGATAAAGAGAAAAAACAAAGAGTAACAACAAGTAAACCTCTACCACTTTTTGAAGTTGAACTTTCTTCAAAACCAGGAACTCTACTTGTAATATGTCTACTTCATTCTTAAACCTTTGTGTATCTTGCTGTAATTTTCTTTGTAGATCTACTTTTGATGTTCTGTCATGATGTAGTGATAAAGAACTCAAATTTTCTAATTCAGGCACCATGATTTTGTAGTTACTAGCACTGAGACTGTCATAGAATGGCTTCTGGAACAAGTCTTGTACTGCTTTTGTTTTCTTCTAAGTGCCTATATCTGCAGAAATACTGTGGCTTTTTATTTGAATCATGTTTTATCTCTCTGGAGGGGGTACCCAATGAATCTGAAAGACCTTTTGGATCACTAGATAGAGGCATATGCCTGATGGCTAATTTGATGCCTCATGGTATCTTGGTCATATTTTTTTGTCATTTGCATATCAAACTCTTGACCTTCTTTCATTTCCATTGTAACAACTTCTGGGTCCCTTGCTTTTTTTTTTTTTTTTTTTTTTTTGACGGAGTCTCACTCTGTTGCCCAGGCTGGAGTGCAGTGGCGCGATCTCGGCTCACAGTTCCATGCTTTCTTAGAGTCTCTATCATTATAAAAATTCTCCTCATCTATGTTAAAAACATGTTCATTATCTGGTTTGTTATTTTCACAGTCTAATTTATTTTCATTTAAATAAAGCTTAGAAGATGTCTGGCAAACATGTACCAAAAACCCAGAATATGAATGAGATATACACACATTTTTGAGACTGAGTTCCATGTGTTCAACAAAATGCCTGCAATGCCACAAAGACAGGCACTCCAGATGCATCTTTTTCCCTCACAAGTATATTATTTGTCAAATTAGAAGGAATTTCCTTTATGTTTGTTTCTCCTTTTGAGCTATCATGGAGTGGCTTCAGGAAAAACAGTAATTTGTATTTTTCACAGATTTCACCAAACCTCTGATTTAACTCACTTGTAAGAAGTGAATTCATTTTCATTTTCCCACTCTTAATTTGCCTCATTTAATACACATTTCCTCAGACTTTTACACAAAAATGTCCTGAATATATAGACGTATCCTCTCCAATCTTTATTTTTTTCTTGGTCTTGAGATATTTTTGGCAGATGCAAAAGGGAAAGATTAATTTGCTTGTTTTGTTTCTCAGAAGTTGTCTTTGTCAGAGTCCATGTTTTTGTTTTTATTTTTTGAGACAAGGTCTCACTCTGTTGCACAGGTTAGAGTGCCGTGGTACAAACAGGGCTCATTGCAGCCTCAACCTCCTGGGCGCAAGTGATCCTCTCATCTCAGCCTCCCATGTAGCTGGAAACACAGGCACATGCTACCATGCTTGGCTAATTTTCAAAAACAATTTTGTAGAGATGGGGCATCACCATGTTGCCCAGGCTAGTCTTGAACTCCTGGACTGAAGCAGTCCTCCCACTTCGGCCTCCCAAACTACTAAGATTACAGGCATTAGCCACTGTGCCCAGCCAGGAGCATGTTTTTAAAATAACTTTATTTTCAGTAAAGAAAAAAAATTAAAGTAATTAAAATTAAAATTTAATTGTTAAATTTCTTTGTATGTTTAACTACTCCCAAATCACAGGGAGAAGTAAAAAGTAATTTGCCTTAGCTAAAACTGCAAGAAAAAAATAAACCAGCAAACTTAACTCTGGCACTGTTGTTTGGAATAAATTCATTTTTTGTTATATCTACCAAAACATGAATGAGCAGATGATTAGTAGTGTTACAAAAGTGTCCTCACCTGAAAAGATTTTACCTCAGCATACCCTAACTAGTGAGCACGTGTGGTGCATTTAAGTACTTTTTCTGAAGATTACTATCTGGACTGTAGGCAAACTTAGTTAGAAGAAAAAATCAATACCAATCAGGAAGAAAAGCAAATTCTCAAATTTTAATTCAAATTATATTCTGTAATATGACACTCTGATGTATCCAGTTTATCTGCTCAAGTCCAGTTCTAATATATTCTAATATCCACCGATGATGATGGATTACAAATTTTATACTATTTACTGACTTCTTGCATTGAAATAAGTTAGAAAGTTATTGTTCATATCCTAATACCAAAGGTCCCATTCTGCAGAGTATGGTTCTCTTAATAAACACTTAGGTTGATTTTATGACCCAGCTCTCTTCCTAAACATGACCTGAAGTCAATGAGAGAGCGTGAGGCAGAATACATGTTTAGCCTTGACATTCATTAGTGACTGGCAATATAAAACTGCACATTTTGAACCACTGGCCATCATGACTCCTTTAACATGAATACAATGGCCATCACTCTTAAACTGTTCATAACTTCTGTTGCTCAATAATATGATACAATAATTCATTTTACTTTCTTCATCATGTAAACATGTCATAAAGATAAAAAAGGAAAGAAAATTTTGAAAATGTTTTCTCTCTATTCCAAGGGTAAAGATGAGGTATAAGTTACTACAGATTTTAAAAATCTTTTAAGTTTTATAACTAGTTAAAATGTATTTAAAATTCAATATTAAATAGTAAATTAAAATCTATTGATTAACAAAGGCTAATCTGAAAGGTAATTTCATTTGGACTACCCTATATTATTAAAGCAAAGAACATAATAGTCAACCAGAAATTTAAATGAAATTGTTGTATACTTGGAGCTCATTGTTTTCACTTTCTTCAAGTCTTTCTTGCTCTTCCTCTGATAACACTGCTAAGACTTGTTCTGCTGAAAAAATGATACATTTAGTTAAAATGAACTACTTGAACAGTTAAACTATAGTCTTTATGAAAATAGATTAAAACTAATATTTCATTTTATTTTATAAGTTGTGAATTTAAAGGAAGCTTAATCTTTAGCAGGATATTTCCTTCTTTAATAAATGCTCCTAATTCTTTTTTTTTTTTTTTTTTATACTTTAAGTTCTAGGGTACATGTGCATAACATGCAGGTTTGTTACATATGTATACTTGTGCCATGTTGCTGTGCTGCACCCATCAACTCGTCAGCACCCATCAACTCGTCATTTACATCAGGTATAACTCCCAATGCAATCCCTCCCCCCTCCCCCCTCCCCCCCCATGATAGGCCCCGGTGTGTGATGTTCCCCTTCCCGAGTCCAGGTGATCTCATTGTTCAGTTCCCACCTATGAGTGAGAACATGCAGTGTTTGGTTTTCTGTTCTTGTGATAGTTTGCTAAGAATGATGGTTTCCAGCTGCATCCATGTCCCTACAAAGGACACAAACTCATCCTTTTTTATGGCTGCATAGTATTCCATGGTGTATATGTGCCACATTTTCTTAATCCAGTCTGTCACTGATGGACATTTGGGTTGATTCCAAGTCTTTGCTATTGTGAATAGTGCTGCAATAAACATACATGTGCATGTGTCTTTATAGCAGCATGATTTATAATCCTTTGGGTATATACCCAGTAATGGGATAGCTGGGTCATATGGTACATCTAGTTCTAGATCCTTGAGGAATCACCATACTGTTTTCCATAATGGTTGAACTAGTTTACAATCCCACCAACAGTGTAAACGTGTTCCTATTTCTCCACATCCTCTCCAGCACTGTTGTTTCCTGTGTTCCTATTTCTCCACATCCTCTCCAGCACCTGTTGTTTCCTGACTTTTTAATGATCGCCATTCTAACTGGTGTGAGATGGTATCTCATTGTGGTTTTGATCTGCATTTCTCTGATGGCCAGTGATGATGAGCATTTTTTCATGTGTCTGTTGGCTGTATGAATGTCTTCTTTTGAGAAATGTCTGTTCATATCCTTTGCCCACTTTTTGATGGGGTTGTTTGTTAAATTTTTGCAATCTACTCATCTGACAAAGGGCTAATATCCAGAACCTACAAAGAACTCAAACAAATTTACAAGAAAAAAACAAACAGCTCCTAATTCTTAAAACTTCAAGAAACCACCTGGGGAGACATTAGATGTCACCGGTTGAAGATAAACACACATGTCAAACATTCACTTGCAAATGTATCTACCAAACATAAATAAAGAAAACCATCACAAACAAAATAAAAATTTTTAAATGTGAGCACTTGGGCCTTAAGTGAACATTGGTGGTACCCTGGCAGGATTCCTCCTAGGTCTGTGGTGGTGGTGGTGGACATGGTAAGAGATTCCTCTGCCTGAGGAGATGGGAGGGAAGAGTGGAAAGGACTTTGTCTTGTGGTTTCAGTGCCAACTTAACTGCAGTAGAATACAGCACCAGGTAGATTTCTAAGGTTTCCAACTGTAGGCCCTGGCTCGCAGACAGTATATGTGGCCCCTCCTGGGGCCTGAAGGGACTCTCACTGCCCTGAATGGAAGGACATAAGACTGGTTGACTTCACCACCAGTTGATTGCAGAGCCCTACAGGCTTGAGCAGTCTGATGCAGTGAAATCCCAGTGCGGGTGGACACAGAGGTGCTTATTTAAATCCTCCCCCAGCCCCAGGTAGCACAGAGACAGACTCCATTTGTTTGGGAGATAGTAAGGGAAGAGAACAATAGTTTATATCTGGTAATTCAGAGACTTCTTCCAGCTCTTCTTGAACAACCACCAAAAGCATGTCTCTATGAGGCTGCAAACATGACAGAATTACTGGGCTTAGGGTCCCTGCCCCCTAATGCAGATATGGGTGCAGTAACCAAAAGCATAGACACTATACCCAAGTCCCTTTGAGTACCTGGAAAGCCTTATCAAGAAGGATGAGTACAAACAAGTCCAGACTGAAGATTACAATAAATACAAAGCTCTTCAATGCCCAGACACAGACAATCACCCACAAACATTAAGACCATCCAGGAAAACATGACTTCACCAAGCGAAATAAATAAGGCACCAGGGACCAATTCCAGAGAGACAGAGATATATTACCTTTCAGACAGATAATTCAAAACATTCAAGATAACACAAAGAAAAAAATTCCAGAACTCTATCAGATAAATTTAACAAAGAGATTGAAATAATTAAAAAGAATCAAGAAGAAAATCTGAAGTTGAAAAATGCAATTGATATACTGAAGGATGCATGAGTCCCTTAATAGCAGAATTGATCAAGAAGAAGACAGAATCAGTGAGCTTGAAGATAGGCTACTCGAGAAAACACAGTCAGAAGATACAAAAGAAAAAGGTATAGGAAAGAATGAAGCATGCCTACAAGATCTAGAAAATAGCCTAATAAAGCAATTCCAAGAGTTAATAGCCTTAGAGAGGAGGAAGTGAGATAGATGGGAGAAGAAAGTTTATTCAAAGAAATAACAAAGTTCTTCCTAAACCTCAAGAAATATATCAATATTCAAGTGCAAGAAGGTTATAGAAAACCAAGCAGATTTAACCCAAAGAAGGCTACCTCAAGGACCTTAATAATCAAACTTACAATGATCGAAAATTTAAAAAGGCTCATTTATCCCTGCAGCAAGCAAAGAGAAACAAATAACATACGACAAAGCCGCACGACAAAGCCGCAATACAACTGGAAATAGACTTTTGGGTGGAAAACTTACAGGCCAGGAGAGAGTGGCATGACATATTTAAAGTGCTGAAGGAAAAACACTTTTATCTTAGAATAGTATATCCAGTGCAAATGTCTTTTAAATAGAAGGAGAAATAAAGATTTTCCCAGACAAACAAAGGCTGACAAATTCAATCAATACCAGACCTGTCCCACAAGGAATGCTAAAGAGAGTTCTTCAATCTGAAACAAAAGAATGTTAATGAGCAATAAGAAACAACCTGAAATCAATGAATCTTCCACAACTCACTGATAATAGTAAGTACACAGACAAACATAGAATATTGTAACACTGTAATTATGGTGTGTAAACTTCTCATATCTTAAGTAGATTTCAAATCCTCATAGTAACCTTAAATCTAAAAACATACAATGGATACACACACACAATAGCAGGAAATTAAAACATTCCAACAGAGAAAATCACCTTTACTAAAAGGAAGACAAGAAGGAAGAGAAGACTACAGAATGATTAGAAAATAAGTTACAAACTAACAGGTGTAAGTCCTCACTTATCAATAACAATATTGAATATAAATAACTAAACACTCCAATCAAAATATATAAATTGAATGAATTAAAAAAAACAGACCCAATGATCTTTTGCCTTACACATAGACTGAAAATAAAAACATGACATATGATATTCCCCACCAATGAAAACCAAAAAAGAGAATCAGTAGCTATATACTTATATTGGACAAAATAGACTTCAAGACAAAAACTGTAAGAGACAAAAAAGGGAACTGTATCTTGATAAAGGGGTCATTTTAGCAAAAGGATATAACAATTTTAAATATATATGCACCCATACTGGAGAACCCAGATAAATAAAGCAAATGTTACTAGAGCTAAAGAGAGAGAGAGCACACCCTCAATACAATACTAGCTGAAGGCTTCAATACTCCACTTTCAGAATTTCACAGATCATCCAGATAGAAAATCAACAAAGAAATATCAGACTTGCTTTCTTCCCGTGCCGGTATCGCTCTCGCAAGCATGGTTAACGTCCTTAAAACCCGCCGGACTTTCTGTAAGAAGTGTGGCAAGCACCAACCCCACAAAGTGACACAGTACAAGAAGGGCAAGGATTCTCTGTATGCCCAGGGAAAGCGGCGTTATGACAGGAAGCAGAGTGGCTATGGTGGGCAAACTAAGCCGATTTTCCGGACAAAGGCTAAAACTACAAAGAAGATTGTGCTAAGGCTTGAGTGCGTTGAGCCCAACTGCAGATCTAAGAGAATGCTGGCTATTAAAAGATGCAAGCATTTTGAACTGGGAGGAGATAAGAAGAGAAAGGGCCAAGTGATCCAGTTCTAAGTGTCATCTTTTATTATGAAGACAATAAAATCTTGAGTTAAAAAAAAAAAAAAAAAAAGAAATATCAGACTTAATCTGACCTATAGGCCAAATGGACCAAATAAATGTTTACAGAACATTTCATCCAAAAGCTGCAAAATACTCATTTTTCTTCTTAGTACATGGATCATTCTCAAGAACAGGCCATATGTTAGGCCACAAAACAAGTCTTAAAACCCTCAAAAAATGGAAACTATCAAGTATCTTCTCTGACCACAATGGACTCAAACTAGAAATCCATAACAAGAGGAATTTTGGAAACTACACAAGCACAAGGAAATCAAATAACATGCTGCTGAATAACCTGTGAGTCAATGAAGAGATTAAGAAAATAAACTGAAAATTTTTCTCAGTAATGGAACAAGAACCAAAACCTATATGATACCATGAAAGCAGTGCTAACAGAGATGATTATAGCTGAGTGCCAGCATCAAAAAGGAGACAAAACTTTAAGTAAACAACCTAACATTGCATCTCAAAGAATTAGAAAAGCAAGATCAAACCAAACCCAAAAGTAGCAGAAGAAAAGAAATAACAAAGATCAGAACAGAAATAAATGAAATTGAAACAAACAAAACAATACAAAAAAATGAACATAACAAAAACTTGATTTTTTTGAAAAGTTACATAAAATTGACAAATCTTTAGTCAGACTAAGAAAAAAGAGAGGAGACTCAAATATAATCAGAGATGAAAAAGCAGTCATTCAAAAACAAGCAATGGGGAAAGGATTTCCTATAAAAAAAGGTGCTAGGAAAACTGGCTAACCATATTCAGAAAACTGAAACTGGACCCCTTTCCTTACCTTATACAAAAATCAACTCAAGATGGATTAAACACTTAAATGTA